AAATATATTTGGCATCTAAGGAATTGAGCCAAACTTTTGTTGCTAAGTCACAGAGCACCGATGCCCAGAAGGCACAAGCTCTCATTTTCATACGTCACTACTTGAACCACGATCTTAAAAATGAGTATTCGATTGAAAAAGTCCCTATTGCGTTATGGAAGTCCCTGAAGGACCATTTTGACTAGTAGTCATCTATTGTCCTTCCTAAGACACAATTTGACTAGCTTAATCTTAAGTTTTAAGATTATAAGTTAGTAACTGATTATTATTCAGCTCTGCATAAAATAACCTTACAATTAAAACTCTACAAACAAGAAGTTTCAAGAGAAATAGTTATTTGAAAATACTTTGTCTACTTTTCATGTGAGTAACATTGTACTCTCATCTTGCCGATTCTAGTTTGCCTGAAGCAAATACTGTGATAGATAGTGATGATGAAATGATGAGGTATTAATGAAGAAATGATTGGTGTCATGATAATGTTTGAGTAATTCATGAAAATATATTCATGGATAAAAATGTTAGCTCATGCTTGAAGCATGAAGCATCCGAGAAGTTAGTTTATGCTTGAAGCACCCGAAAAGTTAATTCATGGCCACAATAATTTATTACGTAACCGAGTAGTATATACATTCCAAATGTGTTTTTGAGTGCAAAGTGACTTTACTTTGTTGATTTTTCTTGCAGAGTTTACTACTCGAATTGACTATTCAAAAAGTTTACCTCTCTAAGCTTACAACTCTAAGCTAACCTCTGTAATCTTACTTCTCGGTTTACTTCTTGAAATTTTACTTTCTGGAACTTTATTTTCCAGAGTAAATTTACTTCTCAGAGTTAATTCTCTTAGTTTGCATGCTTATTTGTATATGGAAATTTTTCTCATGCATTCAACATTACTCTCGTATGTAATTGACTGGTTGCTAATTCAAATTTGAATTATTATTTGTTCCATAAATCCTATATCAATCCCAGAAGGATTGTTATTATCAAAAAATTATGATAATCCTCTTTTGACTAAATTTATGATGTCAACATGACAAATCCTCTCCGAATATGGGTTAGTGCAATTCTGTGCTGTTTAAGGAGTAGTATACTCCTTCATAAGAATGATCTTTGACTTATGGCATACATGATATGATTGATTTAGATGTTATTGGCTTGGAAGATAGAAGCGAATTATATCATATCAGTTTGTCCGAAGCAAACGAGAGAATGAATTATATCCTACCATGAACAACTATACCATATATCTTAGGACAAAATAATAGATTTAAGAATCTATGGGTTATATCTTTGAGCTTGCTATCCTCTACCTCAAGAATTTCTCCTCTATAAATAAAAGCTTTTATTTAATAAAATATATGATATGATTTTATTAAACATATGGAGTATGATATAGTGTTATAAAGTATTTATAAAGGGTTGAGTGGTTTTATACTTAGCATTATATGCTAACGGGTTTATTTCATACATGTTTTATAACCCCTTTCAGGTGGGCCCAGTTCATGATGAGAGCGCGCATCGTATAGTAGTATGTGTAGCTCTAGTGACTTTGTTTTGAGGCTAGATTAGTGTTTCTCCTATGTTAAACAGTTCAGTGACTTTAGTAGTAGTTAAACCACAGTTATCTTTTGATGGTGCGTAGACACCGGGGATTGCTTCCCCTTTTGTTGTTTTATCGAGCTTTGACTCCAGTTCTAGTAGTTTTGTTTAGCCTGTGCAGTTACGCGAGAGTGGGTAACTGTGGCGGTGACATTCCCCTTAGTTTTTTAATTGGATTTTATGCCTTGTTTAATTAATCTTACCTTGATTAATCCTGTTTAGATTGCTTATTTATGGGCTCTAGAGTTTAGAAAATGAAATGTTATAATCTCTCTATCATCAATGCAGTTGATAAGTGGAGATCTTATTTGATTGGGAGGCCATTCACTATCAAGACAGATCATCAAAGTTTGAAATTTCTGTTGGAGCAGAAGATAACAACAACTATGCAAAAGAAGGGACTTAGCAAGTTATTGAGACTGAATTACACCATCCAGTACAAGAAGTGAGTTGACAATTGTATTGCTGATGCCTTGTCTAGAAGGAGGGATACTGGTCAAGCTGAACACTTGGCTATCTCAACTGTTAAGCCACTATGGATAGAGGAAGTCATAGGGAGTTATGAAGGGGATGATTTAGCTTCTAAGATACTCACTGAGCAACTAATTACAGCTGAAGTAGCCTCACTATTCACTGTGACTGATGGGTTGATTAGGTACAAAGGAAGGCTGTATATTGGGCAGAAAGGGGATCTGAGGAGCAGGCTTTTGTTACAGTTGCATAATTCTCCTATAGGAGGGCCCTCAGGTCAGCAAGTAACCTATCACAGACTCAAACAACTGTTTTACTGTAAGAGAATGAAAAATGAAGTGATAGCAGTAGTCAAAACTTGTGATATTTGTCAGAAGTGTAAGGAGGAAAATGTAGCCTACCCTGGGTTGTTGCAACCTTTAAAGATTCCGGAACAAGCTTGGCAAAGCATTTCAATGGATTTCATTGAAGGACTACCTATGTCTCAAGGAAAGGAGGTTATTATGGTGATAGTAGACAGATTCACCAAGTACAGTCACTTCTTAGCCTTGTCTCACCCTTATACTACTGAGAAGGTGGTTGAGGTATTCATGGAACATGTCTACAAACTCCATGGAATTCCCCAAGATATTGTGAGTGATAGGGATATATGGTCTTTGTGAGTAAGTTTTTGAAGAATCTGTTCAAGCAATTGCAGGTGAATATGAGTATGTCCTCAGCCTAACACCCACAATCTGATGGGCAGACAGAGAGGGTTAATAGATGCCTATAAATTTATTTAAGATGTATGGTTTTTCACAAGCCTATGACATGGGCTAAATGGCTGCACTTAGCTGAGCATTAGTATAATACCAATTACCATACCTCTTTGCAGTGTATGTTCACCTTTCCAGGCTCTTTATGGCTATTTACCACCAACTCTAACTTTTGATGTTGTGAAAGAAGGGGAGGGCAATGATTGGTTTAAAGAGAGGGCCTCCATGGCAGCCATCCTCAAGGAAAACCTACAGAAAGCTCAAGCTAGAATGAAGCAACAGGCAGGCAAACACAGGAGTGAGAGGAGTTTTGCAGTTAAGGACTTTGTTTATCTAAAAATACAACCCTACAAGCAGGTTTCTATGGCTGTTAGGTCCAATGTGAAGCTCACTGCAAGGTTCTATAGTCCCTTCAGAGTCATAGGAAGGGTTGGGGAAGTTGCTTATAGACTGGAACTGCCTGCTGAAGCTGTTATACATCCAATTTTCCATGTCTCTCAATTAAAGAAAAGAGTTGGAGAAGGGATTGTTCCACAGCTTACACTACCACTTACTGATCCTAAAGGAATGGTATTGACCCAGCCACTGGCAGCCCTAGGAAAAAAGTTGGTCAAAAGGAACAATAAAGCTGAGGCTGAGATCTCAGTTCAATGGGCAAATTTACCCAAGGAGGCAGCCACCTGAGAGAATTTCCATCATATCACAAAACAATTCCCAAACTTTGATCCTTGGGGACAAGGATCCTTTGAAGGGGAGGGCAATGTAACGTTTATGACAAGTGAAATGGAAGAAGAAGCTGCTGAGAGGAGGTTCAAAAGGGCAGAGGAGATAGCTCACAGGAGCTAAGTGTTTTTAGCAACGTCGAGGGACCAAAACGGCGTCCTATGCAATCGGGAAGTTATTGGTAGTTGCTATTAATCAGAACGACGTCGTTGGAAACTGGGAAGTTGAGAGCCGTTTTAAAATAAAGGAAACGACGACGTTTGAAGCTAGGAGGTTGAACGACCAAATCAGACGACGACGTTTTGTGCTTGGCTGGAGGAGAAGTTGTTGAGCATGGAATTCGGAAGCTGTTAGGATAATTTTTAGATGTATTAGCTCACCTTGTCCTATATACCTGTAGTTTTTGCTGAGGCCTTTTTATGCTTTTTGAGAAATTCAATCAAACCCTAATTCTCTACCCAATTTTTCTCAAATTCCTTACCCTTTCTTCTCTTCCACGATTTCCTTACTGTAATTTCTGCTAGAAACTCTAGGCTGTGACAACTGTCTCTTCCCTAATGCGACCCAATGAATATAGGTGGGACGAGGACATCCTAAACGATATCTTTGAAGCCTCAAGTATAAGAGAGGCAATCAACTGGATCAAGTTCTTGGGGATGACGTACATCCATGTGGAGACAGACGCAAATCAGGCGATTTAGGAGCTTTATTCTAACTATGTTTGTGCTCGAGTTTATATTGAGAATATTAAATGGCTAGCAAGAAGTATTTCAAACGTAATCTTCTCTTTCCCTAAGCATTCAACGAACAATGTTGCGCATGTTCTAGTTAGGACAGCTTGTTCCATGTCTGAATGTTGTTTTTGGTACCACGTTCCACCCCCAATCATTCTTGATAGTTTGAGGGTTGATATGAGTTAAAGAAATTTCCTTGTTTAAAAAAAAAAAACAATAACAATAATAAAACATCAGACATAAAAATATGAGAAAACCTGGCCTCTAGCATCTGTTGACATGTATCCACTTTAGAGTCAGAAAACAGGAATGCGAAGTCTACGACTATTAATGGGTAAGTTTTCAATGTTACTTGATATTCTCAAAAGTCCATACCTCCTTGCAACTCCACCACAACAAAACAAAAGTCACTGGAAAAACTAACCAACACTCAGCTTAACCAGGAAAAAAAAATGGACACATTCCTTATGCGCACCGGCATTTGGCCCTGTCTACTAAACCATTGAGTAACCGTGATTTACACCCTCCCACATGCTTTGTCGGGTCGGAGTGTGGGGGACCCTTAAGGTTGGGGATTCAGCCTTTTTGGGATAAGGAAAAAAAAAGTGGAGAAAGGAGAGGGCACACAAAACAATTTGACAATAGACACATGTTCTTTCAAGAAAAGCAGTGAAGGTCAATCAGCTTGTAATGCCACATTCAGAGGATGTTGCACTAGATTCAAATTGAAACATTAAAAGCAGTATGATTATTCAGAATATCACATCACTACAAAAGTGTTATATTGAAATAGACCCCAAGTTCCTGGATTGGGAAAAGAAAAAACGAAACCGGCTTAGATAGATAGTGATTTCTTGTACTTAGCTACCTCTCCTTCATTGGGGAAAAAGCCCATGAGCCTTCCAGCAGAGTTCTGGTAAGCGTACATGAACCCACCCATCAGCCCAATAAGTCCTCCTGTCACCATTGATGGACCCCTTATCCCTGGCTTTATACCTAATAACCCAAAAACAAGGGAAAACTTAAAATTTAATATTAGCAGTAATTTAAAGAATGGTACAATTTGGATAAGAAGTAAGAGGATACCAGAGAGATAGCCGACGGTGACAGAGATACCAGTGATGGTGGTGAATCGGAGGTAATCGAGGGTGTTGAAATTGGACACCACCTTTGTGAAGGGCGGGTTTCTATCTATCACTTGATATTCAGGCTTTGCAGAAGCTGTAATGTCAGTATTCATCCTCCTTTTTGTTCTTCCTCCTCTTTAATAGTGTGACAACCTTGTTTTCGTCTCTATGTGCAAATGGGTTCAGATCACAAAAGGTCAAACATCAGTAACAGTATAAACAAGATATCCCACCACCAGTAAATAGCTTACCAAGATCTGGTTCCAGCATTTCTACAAGTATCACTAAAGAACACTATGTTCTTAACAATCTAACAAACTTGGGTGTGTCATAATAAACTAGTTATAGCAATGTGCGAATTAAATAAATATCAAACCAAATTTTATCCCTATTATAGGAAGGGAATCAGATGATAAGATGATGCTATTATTCCATATAAACCCAAATAGACCTTCAACAGATACATTGAAGTTGATTCCACTGTAAAAGTAGCTGTGAATATACACCATAGTTGTTCTATCAATACAAAATATGCCAATTATTATAAATAATTGGCATAATTCAGAAGAAAGCAATTATATTTGAAAGCCAACCAATGTAAAGAACTAGAGACAAAGGGGAAATTGACAGAAATGTGCAAGTTTTGAAACCTATGGATCAAAATGTGCAACTTTTGGAAATTGGATTATTTTTGTGTAAAACTCGTTTCGGAAAAGCGAATGAGTGGTTGACTCGGCCTCAAATGCTTTTCCAAAAGCGGTTGTCCTTATTATTATTTTTTTTAAATACCTCAAATGGATTTGCAAAATGCGTTTGAACTTTGAAGTATTTATACGATATACACAAATGTATTTGGGAAATGCGTTTGGCGTAAAGATACATTAAACACTTTCAAAAAAAAAAAACAAAAATTGTCACGACGTATATATACGTCAAAATGAAGTTGGCACTAGTCACATACCAGAATTGCATTTGGCAAATGCATTTTTGATAAACAAGTGTCAAATTGTACCAGAAGTGCATTTGCCAAATGTAAGTATAGTGATGATATCATCTTCTTCTCGGAAACCTCAAATAGAAAACTAAGAAGACCGCCGTAAAGGCAACAGAAATCGCCACCGCTGCCAGCGGCAGCTGATTCGTGGACCCCACCAAGTACCAACCCTTCTTCAACGTTCTCTTCAATTATCTTGCAGTCCAACTCTGCAATCCTGTTCTTCTTCACCCTAATCATCGTCACCGTCATCTTTGTGTCTCCAACCCAACGCTCCAAATCAATATTCCCCAGATCTCTCATGCCTACAAATTTTAATCAAGATCTACTTAGACTCCACCTGTATGTGACATCACTATCTCCACAATAGTTCAGACGCTTAACTAACAAATAATTAATAGTTATCACTTATGGAGTTTTTTGTTGAGAGATAATGACAGAATAACTCAATATATATAAATAGACAAGCCGAGAGATTATGGTAGAAGTTTCCAATTCCTTTTGCAATTCTTTCCTTGTTCAAGTTGCCAAATGTCAACAACTCTAGCACCCCACACTGTCACTTGTCTCAATTGACGTTTTGGATATTGTTTTTGGGGCTTTTGATTAAAAAAGCGTAAATGGAATGCAGATGATATGACACTGTTGTACCATAATCGCATTTGGCATATATACGTCAAACACATTTCCCAAATGTGTTTTGCAAAAAATTAAAAAAATAAAAAAATAAAAAAATAAAAAAAATGTCATGTATGTATACGCCAATGTGTTTGATGCATTTAAAAAAATAACAATAAGGACAACCGCATTTGGAGAAAACGTTTGAGGCCGAGCCAACCCCTCAAAAGCTTTTCCCAAATGAGTTTTACACAAAAATATCCAATTTTCAAAAGTTGCACATTTTTGTTCATAGGTTTCAAAACTTGCACATTTTTGTCAATTTCCCAAGATAAAGAAATAAAATTCCCAAGCCAAGATATATGTATATAAAAATAAACAGAACTAACTATATTTAAAGAAATGCTCATATTTTATAGGAAAAAAAACCAACGAATCTCCTCTCGCTGTAGTATACCCCTATAATACATTCCAGTAAGTATATTTCTCTGAATTGTTAATATTTAAACCTCCCAACTGTCAACATGGTGGAGGATATTAAAGTTCAATAAAAAACAAGCAAAACACTACAACTAATGAGCATTTGCACATTCTTATTCCATGGTAGAAACAATAAAAAAAAACACCAACAGTGTTTATCCAAAGAAGTGTTAGATGTAGAGGAATAGTACGTATATATAACCTCTACATCTAACACCAACAATAAAAGGAATAGGGCAATTTTCAACATTTGAAGGTTCAAGTAGTATCCTTGGTATGAAAGAAGTGTTTATCCATGTGTCTGCTAGTACTCAAACTCAAAAACTCTACTTTAGTTTACCTTTGACCTTTCCTTGATCCTTCCCCAATTAGCTGTAGCTAAAAGTGCGATAGAAGCATCAAATTATCTTGAAATTATAAAGCTTATAATATGCATTATTTCAAGCTAAAAACTAATAATTCCACCAAATCATAGCCCTAGTTCTTGAAAATTTCTATGCCACCACATTAACAATATTTATCAGCAAAAATTTGGCTGCCATCCCTCTTACAAATAAAAAAATAAAAAAATAAAAACAAAAAAAAAAAGAATATGACATCTCGTACAGGCAAAATAATATAAAAAATAATGGAGCAGAGGACATCATTAGACCACAGATCTTCAAAAGTAAAATGAAGGGAAGAAAAAGGAACACTACAGGAACATGATTTTTTCCCAGGGTTTGCAAGCAATGGAAGTCCCAACTCACACTTCATTCAAAGAATCAACAGAACAAAAAGAGGCGAAGAAAATTGATGAAAAAACAGAGAATTTCAACATTTCACTTGCACTTGAATATTTACCTGGTAGTCGAACGAAATTAACGAAAGAGAGAGACTGAAGAGTGAAGATCTCTTCCCCCTTTTCGATGAAATGAGACCACGTTCTCTACTTCTCTCCGTATTGCAACCTGTTAAGGCTTGGAAGGGTAAAATTGGAATTGAAAAGCATTTATAATGGTACAACAGAGAAAGCGTAAAATGTAAGATTGAGGCCTTGTTTGACAATTGGGGGTTTTGCACTTTTTTTTAAAAAAAAAAAATTGTTTTTCCGTATTTCCTGTTAATTTGTTAAAAGAAAAAAAAAATTATGTTTGAAAATGTATATAATTTTACATTAAAATGTACAGAATACAGATAAACTTTTAATTGTTAAAAAACGCGTGTTCGAATATACATAATTGTATAAAAAAATGTAAGTAATTGTATAAAATAATGTATATACCAGAATGTACATAATTGTATAACATAATATATATACACTCTGTTGCGTCGACTCTCCACACAACTTAACAAAACGACGTCGTTTTGGGAGGCGCGGGGCGCACAGTGCTATGTGCACCGTGGTGCATGGTATAAAGATTGGACAATTGGTTATTTGGCTATTAGCGGTTAACTATTACTTCGTATTAGGACTCTATATATTTGAGTTTGATTATGATTCTCTATCCAGTCTCTCTGAGACTTCCTTCTTTTATATATATATATATATATATATATATATATATATATATATATATATACATTGTATTATGCTATTCAATACACAACTCTATTAGCTCTCATCTGGTATCAGCTAAGCTAGGGTTTTCTTACCAATGACTGACGGATCTGTTTATTCCTTTAAACGGTCTGTCTCTAATGCTCCTATCTCTTCCGCTATGTCGGTGGTTAATTCTTTATCCACCGCTCTTCACTTCATAAGCATTAAGTTGATCTACAAGCCCGTAATCTTACCCTCCAAGCCTGAATTAATTAATTCTTGAGTCGCCCCATCATTATTTTAATGATGTCCGTTAAGAGGGGCAAAAAGGATTTAATTTAACCCAAAGCCCCTAATATATTAATGTGGTCCATGGTGGACCGTTGACCTTTGTCTAAAATAAAGCCCTTAAAGCCTGTTAGGATAAAGAAGGAAGGTCCATTACTAATCAGATTATAATTGGGAATCCTAAACCTATTTAAAGGGAACTAGAAAGCATTTAGAACCATTTTTACTCATATCTCTCTCTCTCATACCCGAAAATCCCTCCCAAGAACCTAGCCAAAGAATTCCCCATCACCAAGGTTAGGAAGGATCAATTGGAAGGAGACCTTGAGGAAAGATCTTAGGAAGTCGTGAGAAGTTTAATTAAGCTAAAAGGTAACCCATGTCTTACAAAACCTATTTTCCTCGCTATGTTATGATTTATTGGAATCCTTGAATGACGGAATATGTTATCTTGTGATTATGCCTTGATAGAGCTTGTATTTAGGGTTTATATTGTGATCTCTTGACATTCTTGATGTTCTTGATAATCTTGAGTGATGGTGGGCTTATTCTTGTGTTTACAAATGTTTAGAGCTTATGCTTAGGGTTCGATGATGTTATTCTTTGGGTCATTCTATGTATTCAAGTTCCTATAATGGTTGATGTGAGTTTTGGTGCGTCTGGACTTGAAATTGGGCGAAATTGGTTAATCCCCGACGTGGGAAAACTCCCGGTGGGGGTTGTTCCAACGGGTAGTCGGTGGGGGGTCGAACCGAGTTTTGACCCAAAAAGTCAATCTGAATGAAATCGAAAAGGAACCTGAGAAACCTGAACTAAGTGTTTTAACTAGAAACTATTTTTAGAAAATCTATTTTGACCCCGTGTTATTCAAAATCATCTTTTAGACTATGGTCCATGATGCAAGGTGGACCTTGAGCATTCTACACCTTGTCTGATATTTTTAGAAATCAAACCAATTTACCATCCCACCCTCAACCAATCATTGAAGATCCTCCTAGGATTTTGCACCCTTTATAAACAACACTATTCATTTCTTGATTCCCTGATCTCTTTCCCTTGCCTCTCCTCCATTGTGTTCTTTGCTAGAAGGAAAAAATCATTCACAGTAAGTTTCTAAGCTTTCAACCTCCTCCATTTATCATTTTTCTTCTAGTTTCATCTCTTAACCTTTAATCTCTGAGGTTTTTCTTCTTGTGTGTTGTTTGTGTGGTTGTTTGAGGAGTCTAGGAAGTGGAAGTGGTGGAAGTTGAGTAGAGAGGAGGTAGAGATCCATACAAGGAAGAAGAGCAAGCAAAGGTATAAACCATGGCCTCCCAAACTATCATTTTCACTCTCTGTTAACTGTTAGATTGAGTTTGTTGTGTAGAAATACTAGATAGATGTTGTGGTTGAGCTATTGATGTGTTGTAGATGATCTATGATTGATTTATTGTGGTTTAGAAGTGCTATTTGTGCACTAGTTTTGCTTTGCAGGTGAAGTTGAAGGTGTCTGGTGCACACAGAAGGTGCACCAGATCATCCAACGGAGCTAGCCAACGGACCTTGGCAAGGTCCGTTGGGCAGCTTCGTTGAGGGGCGGACCATGGCCAAGGTTCTAGGCAAGAACCATTGTCATGATCCGTGGCTGGGTGGAACCAGTGATGGGGCTTCTCAAGCCCCGTCACCAAGCTCCACCAGGCCAATCCCAGTTCAGGCTGGGCCCTTTGTGGCTCGCTACGCGTTGTTCAGACCGGGACTCGTGGGCCCTTGAGGCTCAGACACTCAGTCCCATTACGACGCACTAGTAGAAGTTGGTTTCATTGAATTTGGAGTTGTGAAGCATGATTTATAGTTGAATTTGTGACTATTGAGTTCTCTGTTAATGTTGTTGATGTTGTCTGAGAGTTGATTTCCAGTAATTGAGGTTTTGGCTTTTGAGCTTTGATTTTGATTTGAGAAGCATGCCTAATTACTTGCTAGTATTTGTTGAGAAGTATTGTTAAGTATTTGAGATTTTCACTTAAACAGTGCATATTTCCTTGAGTTCACAGTGAATGAGAAGTTGAGATTGATTTACAGTAAAGAGGTTGTTTTAGTGCATTTCATTGTTTAAAGTGCATCATTTGGCTCTAAATAAGCCTAAGTTCTATTTCAAAAACCTATATCTATTTTGGAAAAATCATTATCTATTTGCATTGAGAGTTGCATGATATTTGATTTCCAAAGTTGTGAGAAAGAGGAGTTGATTGAGATTAATTGTGC